TAAAAAAAATTACTGAATGATGAATGGTTCAAGGAAGAAATCAAAGAAAAAAATTAAAAGCAGGAAGTAAATTAATAATAAAACAGTACAACAAAAGCTCTGGGACATATTAAAAACAGTTCTAAGAGATAAATGTATAGCTCTGAATCCTACATTAAAAATTAGAAATAGAAGCAGATGCAGGTAGAATTCTGTAAGTTCAAGGGTAACCAGCTTTACATAGTAAGTTCCAGATAGCCAGGGCTACATAGCAAGTCCAACTGTTAACCAAACCAAACAGAACAAAATCAAAAACCAGAAACAAGGCAGAGCCAGGCGGATCTCTGTGAGTTCGAGGCCAGCCTGGGCTACCAAGTGAGTCCCAGGAAAGGCGCAAAGCTACACAGAGAAACCCTGTCTCGAAAAACAAAAAAAAAAAAAAAACCAGAAACAGCACAAATAAATAACTTAATGATATAGATCAAGATTTTGGAAAAACAAGAACAAACCAAAATACAATCCAGCAGTTTTCAAGAAATAATAAAAATAAGAGCAGATATTAATTAAATGGAATAAAAGTATAAGGAACCAATGCACATATGAGCTGGTTCTCTGAAGAGATGAACAAATTTGATGGATTCTTGGCCCAATTAAGCAAAAGAAGGAAAGAGATGACCCAAAAAACTAGAATCAGAGATGAACAGGGAAACATGACAAAGACCAAAGAAATTTAGAATACTATAAGGGATCACTTTAAAAACATGTGCTTTATTATGTTAGAAAATCTAAAACAACTGAGTGAATTTCTAGATTTCTCCAAACCACCAAAGTAAAACCAAGAAGAGATCAATAGGTTAAGATACTCAAAATAAGCAAGAAGATATAAACAGTAACAGCCTGGTAATGGGCACACATGCCTTTAATCCCAGCACTCTAGAAGCAGAGGCAGATGGATCCCTGTGAATTCCAAGCTAGCCTGGTCCAAAAAGGGAGTTCCAGGACAGTTAAGGCTACACAGAGAAACCTTGTCTCAAAAACAAAAACAAAAACTGAAACAAAAAAGCACAACAAACAAACAAAAAAAACCAACAACAACCAAAAATAAGATAAAAGAAACAGTAGCAAAATCCCTTCTAAGTAAAAAATTAATAGCCCATCTAGGTATGGTGATGTATGCCTCTCAACCCAGCCCTGCAGAAGCAAAGAAAGCTCTGTGGAGGTCGATGCGTTCATGGGCAGCCTGAATGTAGGCAACACTAAGACAGCCAAGGTTACATAGTGAGAGCTTGTCTCAAAACAACCATAAAAATTAAATATGAAATAAATAAATTACATCCCCAAGACTACATTTATTTTTGTTGCTTTATGTTTCAGTTTGTTTAGGGATTTTTTTCTCTTACTGATTTTTTTTGTTTGCTTTGATGTTTGGTTTGGCTTTTGTGTTTGAGAGAGAGAGAAAGAACAGGAAGTTGGGTAGATAGAGAGGATCTGGAAGAATTTGGGAGAACCAAACAACATCATCAAAATATATTACACAAAAATAAAACAACAAAAATAAGAAAAGCTCAGGCTCAAATTGATTCATGAAAGAATTCTACCAGACTTTCAGAAATCTGTCATCTAATTTTCTTACAGTTTTCAAAAATAAAAACACAAGGAATATTTAAATTGATAGTGCTAAAATTTGTTTATAAAAAGATTTACATAATTGAAAATTGTCTTTCTATGTAGTGTTTATTTAGGAAGAAGTAACTAACATTGGAGAAAGATGTCAGTTCCAATTAAATGAAATGAATATCTATATTGCGAGGATAAACATATTTTACTTGCATGATTTGTTGAAGACAACATACATTTATTCGGAAGTATTCCTACCATAAATACATGTCCTCAAATATTTCATAAGGAAAAAAATAAGCTGAAGAATCTCAAAACCTGAAGTGTGCTATTTCTCAAGAACACCAATGCCATCGAGGACCAAGATAGAATAATGGATATAACATAAAGAGACATGGCTTCTAAAAATACTGTTATTTCCACGGAATGGAAAAAGAAAGAAAAAAACAACTATTGACATGTAAATTTATGCAATGCATATAGCATACTTTTAAACTAGTGATGATGTATCTGATATTCTTTATTTTTTCCTTTTAATGAAAGATTTTTTTCTCACATACAAAGTATGATTCTACCTCTGTCTACTCTTCCCAGTTTCTCTCTACTTACCTTCCCATATAGAATCGCCATTTGTCTCTCATTAGAAAATAAACAGGCTTCTAAGGGATAATAATATAATATAGTATACTTGGTATGATATGATATGATAAAGGAAAAACTAAACATCAGAGTCATAAAGGTTCTTACATTTTAAACCAGGTCTAGCTGTGTGTTGGTGGCACTAGCCTTTAATCCCAGCACTTGGGAGGCAGAGGCAGGAGAATCTCTGTGAGTTCCAAGCCAGCCTGATCTACAGAGGTAGTGCCAAGACAGCTAGGGATATTACACCGAGAAACCCTATCTCACAAAACCAAAAAAAATTAAGCCAGGTTTAAAGGAACACACACACACTTTTATAATGTACACGCAGAAAAATACTGGGCAATTTGAACATCATATCTGCAGCTAATACATAGTTCAGAAAACAAAGTGACACATATAAACAGAAATAAGATGAGAGGAAAGGGAGGGAAAGAGGAAAGGACATGATGAGTGAAAGGAATGCAAATAGTAAACCTAGATGAAGAGCATCTGGCCCTAAAATTTTATCAAAATAAAAGAGAAAGAAAAATCTCATTGCCATATATACTAAAGGAATTTACGAGAAAGTGTAAAATTTAGAAACTTTTAGTGGCTTCTACATCTAAAACTGTTTAATTTTATAAAATCTTGGCCACTTAACATTTAAATTAGGCTTAAGTTTTAAAAATACTATTTCACCCATTAGATTGACTATTATTTAAATGTTTGAAACATAATAAACACAAGTCTATGAAAATTAGCACTGTCATTACACCACTGCTCCAGCTTAGCCCAGAAAGCACTTAAGAGCAATTTTACAATGTTAACAGAAACCACAGAAGCTGATATAATATTACCATACATAGAAAACTATTACATAATTAGGAACCCAAATACATTTTCAAAGTTATATAATTATAGCATCATCAACAGTATCACATGTAGGAGCAAATCACACTTTTGTAAACCTGAACTACTAGTTTGGAAATACACCCATGATATATTAAATAGAAAGTTTAAAGGCAACAGTACAAAGATCATACATCTACAACCTCCACCTACATTTATATAAACATAAGAAAGTTACTGACTGATTATATATATATATATATATATATATATATATATATGTATGTATATGAAAGCTTAACCCATCAGTGCTGTGGAATGTGGATAGAAGATTAAGAATGAATGAGTACAGAATACTTTAATCATTGTTGAGGGCCATATTTCAATGTGCTAAAACATCTAACTTTAAAATTTACTTTAAAAAATTTAAGGGCCAAGTATCAAAAGGCTTAAATATTTCTTTCAATGATAAATATAACTATGTATTTGAATGTTTAGAGTAGTGCTTCTCAACCTTCCTTAAGGCTGTGACCCTTTAATACAGTTCTTCATGCTGTGGTGACACACTAACCATAAAATTATTTTTTTTTGCTACTTCATAACTGCAATTTGGCTACTGTTATGAATTGTAATATAAATATCTGTTTTACAATAGTCTTAGGTGACCTTCATGAAAGGGTTGTTGAACCTCAAAGGGATCACAATCCACAGGTTGAGAACCACTGATGTAAAAGATTCAGAAACTAGTACAAGCAAAGACATTCTTTGTGTCTCTTCTGTTTCAAAATTTATCAAAGATCCTATGGATGAAACTAGAACCATACAGTACACTAAGAGATTGAAATCATCTGCTAGTGTCTAAATCTGCCACAGGATTTATGCACTGTAACTATTTAGTGGGTTACAGTTTTATAATTAGCCCTTGGCACTGTTGAACTGCAAGAACAGATTCCTGGTTGCAACAATATGATCTATAAATCTGGAGCCTTACAGAAAAAGTTTTGTGACCCCTAACACAAACTGACAAATTGTATTATCTTCTGTTTCAAGCACTGTCACTGTGTCTGATTAGAATCAAGATCAATATGAACTTTCAAAGTGTTAACATAGGAAATTAACTGAAATACATTAACTTTGCTGTTAAAGAAGGAACTCCACTGCCTGTGAATTAAATGGATATTATAAAAAGAACACAGGACATACCTCAGAATCCAGCTGCAATGTCATAATAATATAATGAAACATGTGTTGTACTACAAATTTATGAGATTAGAAAAATCCATTAAATCTTCTGTTTTCTGCTATATTCTGTCCCACTTGAGTTACAAATACAAAACTGAGGTTGCCAGGCTTGGATGGAAATCACCTTTTTCCACTGGTAAACCATACAAACTTTCAAAGAAAGGAATTATTAAATAACCTTAAAATATCTGGTGCTTGAGTGATCATGGCTCACCCATAACTCCAGCTCCAGGGGATCTGACTTTGACTTCTGACCTCTACAGACACCTAACATGAACATACTTACATAAGAGCACACACACACACACACACACACACACACACACACACACACACACACACACTTTAAAATTTCTTATCAGTTGTTTGTACTCTTAACAATTATTAAAACAGGTTGAGAAATTCAGATAGTAATTTCCTGATGAACAGTATGACTTATGGTCTAAAAACAGACAACTAATATTTAAAATAAATAGTACTTTATGACTTCACTTAATTTAAGCAGGAACAAGTAAAATCAACACACTGTGTAATAAACTCAAATCTCTTTGAAACAGTGAGGTTTTACCCTTACCTGAAGGGACATAGGTGATACCAGTAAAGTGATTAGAGCATCTGCATGGTTCTCCTCAACAATGCAAGAACATTTCTCTACATACTCATGGTTGCAATGGTATTGAAGTCTGCGGTTGAGGTATTGGAGAAAAGATAAACCACAGAGACTCACTTTCCTGGCCCAAACAGAGGCCAGTAATACCAATAAAACAGAAACCAGAGGAGGGTCTTCCCTAGAGAATACGACTGTGGAAGATGATCTTCTCTGAGGATTGCCTGAAATTTGAGTTTCTTGTTTAAAGGAGGATGAAACCATCTCACAAATGATAACAAAACTGGTATACAGGGAAAGTCAATTAGTCAGAAAACCTTCTTATTATCTGAAGTATCATAAAAATATCTGTGTACAATAATTGTACTACCTACACATAAAAGTCTCTTCCATTTAAAAAGTAAAATATGAATAAGAAAAGAGGTAACATACAATATGTGAGTACAAGATATACTGAAAGCAGAAGTACTGAACGTCCCAGTCAATTACTTGCCAAAACCAGGTCTTTTATATTCCACTGAAGTCTTCTATACAAGTTGTGAGATGATAAGGGTTGAATAAGACTCCAGAAACAGTAAATACAATAAGTGTATTAGGGAAATTCTGATGATAAAACCTCTTCAGAAGGTATATTTGGCCACCACCTGGGAGAGTACAGAAATGTAGATTATAAGTGAAAAAGAATAACATATTACCTGGTTTCCAATGGATACAAATCATCCTCAAGATTTTACCAAAACTCTATAAAAGCAGCTTCTAATTCTGAATGCAATGAAAAATACTCTATAAAAATGACCGCTTTTTTCATTTCCTTCTTTTATTTCTTATTCTAAATAGTTCTATGTTATTTAACTAGTTATTTAAATTTTGGACCTAACATTTCCTATATACGTTCTTAGTTAGCAGCGAATCTGTTAAAATATGCATTGTATTCAATAATATTTAATGGAAATATTTTCCCAAAATCAAAATCCCAAAATAAGGGACTCCACAGCAAAGGGATTATGTAGATTATATATTCCTGGCAACCCAGGATGCATACAGGAATCCCTGTCTCTGAGAAAACCAAAAACAAAACACATATCCATTGTCACTGAATTCCTAAATGCTTCTTGTGCAATTTCTGATGATTCTAAGTGCAGTGGTTTGAATAAAATGCCTATCTGCTGCCATGACAGTCATGGGATTACCCTCTGAAACAGTAAGATCCTACTGAATAGTTTCTTTTAAAGGTCTCCTTATTCATGGCATTTTGTCATAGCAATTAAAAAATAACAAAGACAGAAGTTGGTACCAGGTGTGAGGCATTGATGTGATAAGATTTACTACATTGTTTTTTCGGGAGAATGTATAAGAATTTGAATTTTTGGACATGGCAGTGGTTGGATGATGAAAGCAGGGCTTACCAGGCCATCTTACTAGAAGTTTGGAAGATAATAGCGCAGAAGGTAATGTGGCCCATGGAGGCCTATCACAAGGTTTTAGAGAGGAATAATATTAGTAACTTGGCTAGAGACCATTGTGTGATATTTTGGCAAAGAATTTGTTATTTTTTTTCCTTTCTACTAACAATCTTCCTGAGACTAAATCAAAAAATAATAGATTAACTTCTTTGGCAGAGGAGATTTCAAGACAGCCTAATATTGATTCTGTCACTTGGTTATTAGTAATAATTCTTATGTAAGTCCACAAAGAAAAAGAGCAAACAAGTTAAAAATTATAAATCTACAGTTTGAAAAGAAAAAGAGCACCAGAAAATTTAATGTTGGAGCTAAGGCTTATACTAAAAAGATAAGAAGAGGCCTGAAGGGAATGAAATAAAGGGTATAATGCTCTCAGGGAAAGATTCTACTTTCAACTTGTGAAAGGAAAAGACATAAGGAATGTTCTAAGAAGCAATAACAAATCAAAACTTATGCAAATATAATTCCAAGAAAGGCCAAGTTCTACCCAAGAGAGCAACTGAACTAGAGAGTGAAGGTCATGTGTTTCTGGCTTTAGAGTAAATAGGTCTTGAGATCTTCCTCTATAGTTATGAAAAGCTGCTGAGAACAGACTTATGGAAGTGGAGTACCTGCATGGAGGTCTTGAGAGGGCATTGCATGAAGAGGACCCCAGGACATTGGAGGTTTCAGAACCATGGGATATCTCTCAAGTAGGTCTTTAGGCAGGGAGTGCAACTAGCCCAAGTGAAAGGAGTATATTTCAGCCAATTGAGCTGGGAAGAGAAAGACATGTGAGCCCTTTGACATAAGATATGGATTAAAAGAGTTGGAGTTTTCTCTGCTGGGTTTCAGTTTTATTTGATACAGTATTTTTTCCACTATGCCTTCATCCCTGTCTTTCTGGGAAAATAATATACATTCTGCAGAATTGTTTGTTGGAAGCATATAATTTGAGTTTTGATTTTTATTTTACAGGCCTTATAATTAAGAGAATGCCTAGAGTTTCATATGAGACTTTGGACTTTAAAACTGTGTTAAGACTGTCAAAGACTATGGGGAGTTTTGAAGTTCAACTAAATTTTAAATTATGATATAACCAGAAGCTTTTGTGGGTCAGGGACTAGAATACAGTGGTTTGAAGGAGCAGAGCTCCCACAGGCTCATATATTTGAATTCTTGGTCCCTGCTAATCCCACCAGGCAAGAATAAGATCATTACCACAAAATTTGAGCCAAATTTTAGTAAGCTTTATTAAACATTGGCTAGAACAATAGACAATGGCCAGATCCATACCCAGGATTCCCAGAGTATGACAGTAAATTAGTCAGGGGCTTATAAAGGCAAAAACTTCAAGGTTGTATTACATTGATGGACTTTTGTATGTTGAACCTCCCTTGCATCCCTGGGATGAAGCCTACTTGTTCATGGTGGATAATTGTTTTGATGTATTCTTAGAGTCTGTTTGCCAGTATTTTATTGAGTATTTTTGCATCAATGTTCATGAGGGAGATTGGTTTGTAGTTCTCTTTCTTTGTTGCATCTTTGTTTGGCTTAGGAATCAGGGTAATTTTAGCCTCATAGAAGGAGTTTGGTAATGTTCCTTCTGTTTCTATTGTGTGGAACAATTTAAAGAGTATTGGTATTTATTCTTCTTTGAAGATCTGGTAGAATTCTGTGCTGAAACCATCTAGTCCTGGACTTTTTTTGGTTGAGAGACTTTTAATGACTGATTCTATTTCCTTAGGGGTTATTGGACTATTTAAATAGTTTATCTGGTCTTGATTTTCCTAAATATAACACCAGTAGCACAGACACTGAGAGAAACAATTAATCAATGGGACCTCTTGAAACTGAGAAACTTTTGTAGAGCAAAGGGCATGATCAACAAGACAAAGCAACAGCCTACAGAATAGGAAAAGATCTTCACCAACCCCACTTCTGACAGAGGGCTGATATCCAGAATATATAAAGAACTCAAGAAATAAGACAGCAAAATACCCAACAATTAAGAAATGGACTACAGAGCTAAAAAGAGAATTCTCAACAAAGAAAGCTCAAATGGCTGAAAGACATTTAAGGAATTGCTCAACATCCCTAATCATCAGGAAAATGCGAATCAAAACGACTCTGAGATATCACCTTATGCATGTCAGAATGGCTAAGATCAAAAACACTGAAGACAGCTTATGCTGGAGAGGATGTGGAGCAAGGGGAACTCTCCTCCATTGTTGGTGGGAATGCAAGCTTGTACAGATACTTTGAAAATCAATACGGTACTTTCTTAGAAAATTGGGAATCAATCTCCCCCCAAGACCCAGCTATACCACTTTTGGGCATATTCCCAAGGAATGCTCAATCATACCACAAGGGCACATGCTCAGCTATGTTCATAGCAGCATTGTTTGTAATAGCCAGAACCTGGAAACAACCTAGATGCCCTTCAACTGAAAAATGGATAAATAAAATGTGGTACATATACACAATGGAGTACTACTCAGCAGAGAAAAACAATGACATCATGAGGTTTGCAGGCAAATGGATGGATCTAGAAAAAAATCATCCTGAGTGAGGTAACCCAGACTCAGAAAGACAAACATGGTATATACTCACTCATAGGAGGATACTAGATGTGAAACAAAGGATGAGTAGACTGCTACTCACAACTCCAGGGAGGCTAGCTAGTAAAGAAGACCCTAAGAAAGACAAAGGGATTGCCCAATGACAGAGAAATGGATGAGATCTACATGAGCAAACTAGACGTGAAGGGGGTTAATGAAGGGCAAGGGTCGAGGGAAAGAGAGCTTAGGGGAGTGGGAGATCCCAGCTGCATCAAGAACAGAGAGGGAGAACAAGGAAAAAGAGACCATGATAAATGAAGATTCCATGGGAATAGGAAGAAACAAAGTGCTAGAGAGGTCCCTGGAAATCCACAAAGATACCTCCACAATAGACTACTGGCAATGGTTGAGAGAAAGCCCGAACTGACCTATTATGGTGATCAGATGGCCAAACATCCTAACTGTTTTGGTAGAACTCTCATCCAATGACTGATGGAAGCAGATGCAGAGGTGTACGGCCAGGCCCCAGGTGGAGCTCCAGGAGTCCAATTGGCAAGAAAGAGGAGGGATTGTATGAGCGAGAATTGTTGAGACCATGATTGGAAAAAATCACACGGACAAATAGCCAAACTAGTGGAAACACATGAACTATGAACCAATAGCTGAGGAGCCCCCAACTGGATCAGGCCCTCTGGATGAGTGAGACAGTTGGTTAGCTTGAACTGTGTGTGAGGCCCCCAGGCAGTGGGAACAGGTCCTGTCCTTAGTGTATGAGCTGGCTGTTTGGAGCCTGGGGCCTATGCAGGGACACTTGGCTCAGCCTGGGTGAAGGGAAGAGGGGAATGGACCTGCCTGGACTGAATCTACCAGGCTGAGCTGAATCCCCAGGGCAGTCCTTGACCTGGAGGAGATGGGAATGAGGAGTGGGCTGGGGGGGTGGGGGGAGGAGGAGGGAGGACAGGAGAATCCGTGGCTGATATGTAATATTAAATTAAATTATAAAATAAAAAATAAAAAAACAACAAAACAAACAAGCAAACAACAACAACAAAAAAAAACTTCAAGGTTAGAAACTGTACTTTCTGCCTTCATCCATTTGGGAGCAAGCACACATCCAGAATATTTCTGCCTCCAAACCTCCTGACTTCATGTGATCAAGCATGTCCTGTGTAGTTGGGCCAACAAACTTTATTTACAAAATGAAATGTTTGGTTTGTTATCTTAAATGAATAATAGCCCCAAGCACTCTAGGAAAATATCTGTCCTTAGGCTAGTGGGGCTTAGAAATTAGAGGCATTTTTGGTTTATAGATCTCTTAAACACAGTAATAATTTAAGCTTAAAGCATAACTTTAGTCATCACATCCCCAGGTGGGAAAACTGCTGAGCAATGACTAAGACATGTGGCCTTGTTGGAGGAGGTATGTTATTGGTGGTGAGTTTGGATAGTTCAAAAGCCCAGGCCATTCTCAGATACTTCTCTGCCTTCTGCTAGTAGATCAAGATGTAAGATCTCAGCTACTACTCCAACACCATGTCTGCCTGCTTGCTGCCATTCTTTCTTCTGTGGTGGTCAGGGACTAACCCTCTGAACTGCAAATCCTCAGTAATTGATTGCCTTTATAAGTTCCCTTGATCATGTTGGTTTTTTATTTTCTTACAGCAATTGAAAATTAACAAAATCACTAAGGATAAGAAAGCACTTGTGCCGGGCGGTGGTGGCGCACGCCTTTAATCCCAGCGCTTGGGAGGCAGAGCCAGGTGGATCTCTGTGAGTTCAAGGCCAGCCTGGTCTCCAAAGCGAGTTCCAGGAAAGGCGCAAAGCTACACAGAGAAACCCTGTCTCAAAAAACCAAAAAAAAAAAAAAAAAAAAAAAAGAAAGCACTTGTATTTCAAATATCAATTTCATGGAATGCTGTCCCATCATAACAAATTAATTTTTTATTAAAATATTTGATAAATATATGGGCCATAATGTATGTATGTCTATAAGAAAAAAAAACAATTTTGAACAACTAAGAGAGTGATTTTGTTTGTTCGTTTTCTTTTTCAATACTGAGTTTCTTTGTAGTTCCAGCTGTTATGGAACTCTCTCTGCAGACCAGGATGGCCTCAAACACAGAGATCCACTTGTTTCTATCTCCTGAGTGCTGGTATTAAAGGTATTTGCCACCCATGCCCAGCTAAGTTATTATTTATAATCCATGTAGACAAAAGAACATCTTAAATATTACAATATATGCCTTCTAGATCTTACCTATAGCTGATATTTATTTGGTGTTTGCTTTTAAAGGAAGCTTGTGAGAAGAAATTAAATCATTTTTCATTCATTCATCAAATAAAAGGGTATTAGCAATCTACTTTTACATCAGAAACTATGTACTACCCAATACAGCTAGTAACATTGGTAATCATGCACATGGAACTAATATTCACATGTGTCACATGTAACAAATGTTACATCCCACTATCTTTTTGACTTATGTTTATACATCTTTCAGTTTTTTCTTTACCTGCTTCCCAGTTTTCCTCTATTCATCCACCATTGGCATATTCTTAAACATTTATTGATAAATTTAGAAAATTTACATTTACTGAGTATACAGATAAAAGATTATAGACCCTGTGTAGATAATATCATCACCTTTTTTGTTGTTGAGATGCGGAGAAGAGGTCTCACTGTTGCCAAGCTGACCTCAAACTTTCAATCTTCCTGTATTAAGTCTTGAGTAGCTAGGACTAGAGTTGTGCAACACTATTCCTGGATTAGATGCAAATAACAGTGTATGGGCATAATAGAAAATATAAATCAAAATGTATATAATCCTCCTATAAAAACTAAATCAAAATTTAGAAAAACTTCTACTTCTTCTATTAAGGCTGACAATCACTTCACAATCTGATATTTTGTATATTTAATGAAATTCAAATAGCATATGTTCTATCTTCAAATATTGTAAACATATCAGATTAAATATATTAAATGAAAATTTATAAATAGTACAACAAATGTACTGATACTTGTGGGCTCTTTCAGAGAATAAAGTCTACAAAAATTAACACTTCGTTTTAGATTGACATGGAAGTGACAGGCTATAAAGTATCTGAAAGTATGACTTATTTTTTCAGAGAGGCTTTTTGGATGTAACCTAGCCTATTCTTGAATCAAAAATAGAAGTGTATAAGCCTCCCTGTATCTTAACTTACAGGTATGCCCCAACATACTCAGCATAAACTCTTACTTCTTATATTGGAAACATTTTAGTAGAGTGGTAGAAAATATGAAAGAAAAATGACACATACTATGACAAGATGCAATCATAAAGTTGTTGACTGACATACACAAAATCTAAGAGTACCCAAATTGTTTTGATTTTATGTGTTTTTTAGTATTGTTATTTTTATACATATTCTGACTCTACCCCAGCCTAAACTGGAACTCAATATACATCTCAGACTTTCTTTGAATTCTCAATGCTCATTCAACCTCAGCATCCTGAACACTGGGATTAAAGGTGAAAGCCACCATGCCATGGGTGTTATATAGTTTAAGATGGGTGTTTTATTCTTTTATTCTTTTTTTTTACATGCATTGGTATTTTTGCCATGGGTGTCGGGTCTTCTGAAACTGGAGTCACAGACAGGTGTGAGCTGCTATGTGGGTGCTGGGATTTGAACCTAGGTCCATCTAGAAGAGCATTCAGTGCCTTTAACTGCTGAGCCATCTCTTAAGATAGCCCTGAACTCTTATGATCCTCCTATAACAATTTCCTGAGTACTGGGAATAGCGGTATTGGCTATGATCCCAGATTCCAAATTATTAAAAAATAAAAGTTTACCTTTGGTTTGGGTGTAGTATTTCAATTGGTAGAGTAGTTATCCAGCCTTCAGGAATCTATGAGTTTGAGCCCCAGAACCTCATAAACCTGGTGCTGTGATACGTGATTGTAATCCCAGAATCCTCCTAAAGTAGGGGTAGGGGAATCAAAAGTTAAATGGTTATCCTTTGCTACACAGTTCATTAAAGGTCAGCCTGAGACATATAAGAATATTCTCTAATAAGTAATTAAGATAAGGTGAAAAGTAATCTTGATTAGAAAAAAAATAGTTTGTCAACTCACTAGTAATTATGCAATTTGAATTGTTTTTTTAACTGTAAAAATATTTCGTTTTAAGAACACTACTATGGTTTCACCCTTCAGCTTTTGTCTTTTCCTTCAACTTTCCACCTGATTTGCAGTATCAGTTTGTTCTTATATGGGTCATCTTTCTGTAACATTCTGTTTTTAATCAAGCCATAAGAATGATTTTATCTATCAAGGGACATGAAACCTAATCATGTAACAGATTTGTCTATACACTTATCCCTATATTTATTTAAAATTTTAAAAATGTGTGTATATGTATATATCTTTCTGCATGTTTGTGTACATAAAAGTACAGTGCCCGTGGAGGCTGCAAATGGGTGTTGGATCATATGGAGCTGGAGTTATAAGCAACTGTGAACCATCAAAGATAGGTGCTTAGAACTGGACTCAAGTCCTCTGAAAGAGCACCAAGTGCTCTTATCAGCTAAGTTATCATTCCAGATCCTTTTCAATTCTCTTTTTTGTAATTTATTTCAATTTAATGTGTATGAGTGCTTTTCTTGCAAGCATGCACATGCTTAGTGCCTAAAGAGGACATAAGCAGGCATAAAATATCCTGGAACTGGGGTTACAGGTGTCTATGGGCTACCATATGGGTCCTAAGAACTGAACCTAGGTTCTGTGCAAGAACAATATGTGCTTTTAATCAATAATCAATATTCCTATCCAGACTTTATCAGTTATTCTTAAAACATCAACTGTAACCTATCATTTTTGTTTGTTGGTTTGTATCAACAGAGTCACATTAAGCAGCCATTCTATATTTGAACTCACCTTCCTGATTTAACCTCCTAAGTGCTGGAATTACAAATATAAAATATTGCCTTCTGCTGATCTTCACTATCTAGTGAAGCATTCCACTTGAATTATATGCAGCATCCCATCTAGTCAGTTTGAAGTCACAGAAACCAACATTTTGCATCTTAGTATGATAAAATTGAATAATCATTCAAAAGAATATCCAATGACTCTTATATGGCACCTTTGTTGCACATGATATTTTACTATTACACAACAATACCCTTTAGTGACCTCATTTATCAATATTTCTTTGTGAGCCACAGATAACAGATGGGTACTTATATATAGGTTACTGCAGACACAAGTGCTGTGGATATCATTCTATATAAATAAAACACTGATGGCCAGTAACCAGGCAGGAAGTAGGTTGCCAGGCAGGAAGTAGATGGGGCAAGGAGAGAGGAGAATTCGGGGAAGCAGAAGGCTGGGGGAAGAGACACTGCAGCCACCGCCAGGACAAACAGCATGTAGAGACTCTGGTAAGCCACCAGCCACGTGGCAAGGTATAGATTTATAAAAATGGGTTAATTTAAGATAAAAGAACAGTTAGCAAGAAGCCTGCCATGGCCATACAGTTTATAAGTGATATAAGCGTCTGAGTGATTATTTTATACGTGGATTGTAGGACTGCGGGGCTTGGGGAACCTGGAGAGAAGCCCTCCAGCAACACACAAGCACAAGAAACATGCATTTATACTACTGGTTGTATAAAGCTAAGGACTGTATTCAGGGATTCCCGCATACTAGATAAGCTCTCTATTACACACCTATGGAACAAGCAAAAAAAAACAAACAAAAACATATTTTACAGCTAGAGGGAGAGCTCAGAGGTAAAAGACTTGCTAACCTTCTAGAAGACCCAAGTTTGGTTCCTTGCACCCATGTTGGGAAGCTCACAACCGAAGCTCCAGTAGGATCCAATATAATCTTCTCTACTCCTCAGGCACCTGCATACTTGTGGCATTCACACACAAACAGACATCCAAGTAAATAAAAATAATAAAAAAAAATCTGAAAAATATTTTGATTGCTTTAGACCTAAACTCTGGGAATAAACAGAACTGCATAAATAAGCTTCTACAATAATTTTAAGAGAGCCCCTCTACCTCTCTTAAAAACAATCAAGGAGCTCATGAGGCAAAAGAGAAAATGGCCTCCAGGCCCAAAGTAGGGCAGGAAAGTAGAGTATAAGTGAGACTCTCATAAGGGCTAATGAGACATTGCTTGCTACAACTAGAGGCCATAAACATATCCACACATATGCTGATTATTGTATCTGTCACATTTGACAGCTTAGGATTTGGAGTTGTATTATGGTTGCTCTATTCTTGCTCTACCATGAAACATGAGCAGTCATTATGCAAATAACCATCTTTTAAAATCAAATATTTCTGTCATGAAAATAGGAAAATGTGACATAATCTACAAATTGCTTCAATTCACTTAAAGAAGTGAGTCCTGTACTTTATACACTCTGGGGTTTTAGGTGAATGGCATTTTCACTAGTTCTAAGTAGCAAGAATAAAAATTTAATGAGTAGAAACTTAATCTTGAATTAGAGATACATTCAGTGATATGCATCAGTAATTGTTTAGCTAGTTATACAATATAAATTACTTTTGACAAAAATGTAATTGTATACACATATGAGTATACCATGCTTGATACATGTATATAAGATGGCAAGGTAAATAACTATTAATAATGACTTCAATGTCTATCACTTCAGCCATTTTAATAGTGAGATAATTAAAATTAACTTATATTTAAATACATAATTTTAACAATATAGTTTTTCCTTAGTTTTCATTGGAATTCTGTAAAACCTGGAGTGACAGTACTCCCTAATAGTAATTTTAGGGCAATTATATGACCTCACCTGTACTCTCTGACAATCAATAAGCCATGGAATTTTATACGGAGATAAAAGCAAAAACAAATGTTACTTTCTATTTAGCACAAGTAACTAACACGAACACAGGACCTTTAAAAATCATGGTTAACCACTTATTGTGGGAAATACACACAAATTTAGGTCACTGAGATTAAGAAATTAGCTTCTTTTGAATTGCCAGACCCATACACACTTTCAAGCAAATCTCAGTCACTTAATCCAGTTTTCTCTCCACCTTATCTTCATTTTCCATTGTCAATCAGCCTAAAGTCATACAATACTTTATAATACACCTCACACATTTGTACTCCTCTATGTGTGTATATGTGTATAACCTTGTTTACATACTTATGTTAAAATATGCATACAAAATATACTTCTTCACTCACACATCCACTCCTTTAATTCCATTTAAAATGCACTCTCAAATGCAAATATCCACATATATATCATGATGTTGTTTATCAACTATTTCTAATTCCACTGATTTTTCCTTACTTGTCACTAACCTATACATCCATTTATACATTTTTCTATAAATTTGGAAATTCATAGAAATTTCCTAATAACGTAAATAAACTATCGACAGGAAAACATAAGCAAAACACTTCAAGAACAGAGGCATACACAAAGACTTTCTAAATCCAACAACAAAGGAACTAATCTCAAAAATGTCAAATGAGTTTACATGAAAATAAACTTTGGCACAGCACAGAAAAGCAGGTATTGAAGAGAAACTTTATTAAGCAGCAGATCAATATCTAGAATTCCATGAGCATCTAAAGTTAAAATACAAAGTAAACAAAAAATCATTCAATCAGATCAACATAAAGAGCATCTCCAAGGGACCCTGAAACACCCATGGAAGCTCTGAGGGGAGATGTGGCAGGGGCAATAGCACAGAAGTCTGCAGAACCCACAGTATCTGCAGAACAACTAAAAAGTAGGTAAGTCTTATGGGAAGAAACTTTTAAAAAAAGTGGACTCACAAAATTGGATGGAAAGATGATTGAGTCACCTGTGTGGCAGAGAATAGTAAAATGACAGACAGGCATTTACTGGTGTGGCAGCCATATGAGAGCTTGGTTGCAGCAGACAAAAAACTTGACATTACTGAACAGAGCCAGTCTTCGGTCTGTGGTGAACTGCAGCACAGAGCCTGTGCGGCTCACCCTACTGTGAGAAGGGGATGCCCACAGACTGCAAGTACAAAGGTCAATCTGGTGAGCCTTGAGGCTGCTGGCACCAAGGGCAGGGAGGTATGTAGTGCTTAGAGCTCTCGATGATCCTGCCCCTGGATGCCCTGCCTAGTAACAAGATCACCTGTAGTTGAAATGCTAGACAGTATTATTAATAAAAACCTGGAGCCAGATATTGGAGTGAAAAACAGAGAGATCAGAGAAATAGGACAAGTCACAGACAACCTCACCTCACAACACCTCAGTCTCCAAAGAGATTTACTTTCTGTATACCCACACCTATATGCCTTTCTATTCTGCCCTCTCATTTCCTCTCTCTGCCCAGTTATATCACTTCCTCTTCCTGCCAAGCTCTGTCACTTCCTGTCTGTCTATACAAACCTCCAGACCTTTATAGTTAGTGCCAGGATAAAAGGTATGTACTACCATGCCTGGCTCTGTTCCCAGTGTAGTCTTGAAATCACAGAGATTCAGATGGATCTGCCTCCCGAGTGATAGGATTAAAGGCATGTGCTATTATTGCATGACTTCTATGTTTTCTTTAGTAGCTGGCTTTCTCCTCCAATCATCAGATTAACTTGATTAGGGTTCACAATATATTGCAGACACAATACATCATCACATTTCCTCTTTTTTGTCTAAAGTAAAAAATAAAAAAGCTATAACTAATATAAGAAAACTATATACAATAAGTACAATAACTATATACAATAAGTACAATGACTATACATAATATTTACAAGCAATAAATATATCAACAATGTCTAGTCCATCTGCATTTGATAATTCAGAGAAAATACTTTGTTATCTATCCTATTTTAATGAGTTCAAAATGTACCTAATTCACTTTCTATCCTAACTTATTTACCAACCAAAAACTATCTTTTGATGTCTTTCAAATTTATATACTTAACACCTCTCAGTGAGCTTCTTTTCTGAATTTCTTAACAAGGAAAACTATAACTATAATTATCTAATTTTCAACTCCCTCAGAGACCTGAAAATGAAAAAATATTACCTAGTAAAACAGAAAGTGCAAAAAAGTGACTTCCAAAAAATGTGAGTTATAACTGGAACAGCCAGCTGTCTCTGTCATTCTAGAATTTTGGAAGTTGCTTACAATGCACTTCCTGTTTACTTAGGTAATATTATATCCTTCTGAGTTCTTTGATATAGTTGAAGATCAGATAATTATAATTTTCATTTGTTATGACAAAAGATAAATTAGATATGAAATTTAAACTCACAAATATAGGGTAGATGATAGAATATTTTCTTTAATTTTATCAAATAAAATAGACTAGATATTGTAACTGTAATTCTTGTTTGATAACTGTTCTATTATATGAAATTTTACTATGTTAAAGTTAAAACCTTCCTTTTTGATTAGACAGGAAAGGGGAAGTGCTGTAGGATGTATTTCTGTATGCTGTGAATATGTGTTGCTCTGGTTGGTTGATAAACAAAGCTATTTTGCCTATGGCAAGTCAGGTTATAGCTAGGCAAGCAGTTGAAGAGAGAAACAGGAAGAAGAAAGGAGAGGGGAAAGAGATGCCATCTCTGCCAGGAGACGCAAGATGTGAAAATACCAGTGAGCCACAGTCACATGGCAACTTATAGATTAATAGAAAAGGATCAAGTTATAAGAGCTAGCTAGCAAGAAGTTTGAGCCATAGGCCATCCAGTTTGTAAATAATATAAGCCTCTGTGTGTTTACTTGGGACTAAGCTGCCTCAGGACACGAATGGGAGAGATTTGTCCCAACTGCAAGCCTAGCAGGACACAGGAAAACATCTGACTACAATCATCCTGACCGTGGACAATAGCAGGATATCTAAGAAACCTCTAGGTGATTGTCCAGTATTCACTGTGCTTCAGAAACCAGAAACCCTGAATCAGACTAACGACTCATTGTAATGAGTATTTGCATGTAAAGCTATTTGGACAAAAATATATACTGTGTGATATGGTTTGATAAACATATATGTGATGGACACGTAGGAATAATGGAGGAATGGAGTGGATCATGGAAGGTGGAAAGAGGCAGACCTTAGAGATTCGATGGTAGTCAAAGTTGTGGGTGAAAGCTTCTCTGGGCAGGGGAGCATGCCATACAGGATGTGCTGGTACTTGTGTTGTTGCTTGAGGCCAAGTTGATCATCATGATCTGTGCTGCCACCAAAGCCCAGGTTAATATTAGTGATCCATGCGGCCCCATGTTGGTGCCCCTGGCCCAATCTGCTGCCAGGGCCATGATGATGTCTATGGTCTGTGCTGTTACCTGAAGCTATGTTGATATCTATTGTCCTACTACTACTGGAGGTGATGATGTCCATGGTCCCTTTTGCCAGCACAGGCCATTTTGGTGTCTGTGGTCTATGATGCTGTCTGAGACCATGTTGGTGTTCATATATGGTTTTTTTTTCATAATTGGTTTTATCACTGGAGGATAAATGGAAGTTCTTGTTCTTGGCATGGGCTGTGCCCATGTTGATATCTGTAGTCCATACAGCTGCCCAAGACCATGTTGATGTCCAGGGAACAAGCTGCCACCAGAAGCCAATGCTGATGTCTGTGGAACATGTTACCATCAAAGACCTTGTGGATGTCTGTAGTCTATGCTGCCCCCTGAAGCCATGTTAATGTCGATGGTCTGTAATTTTGCCTAGAGCCAACGATGGTATCGGTGGTCCATGCCACCATAGACCATGTTGAAGTCTGTAATCCATGCTACTACCTGAGGGTATGTGGAAATCTGTAGTCTATGCTACTGCCTGAAGCCATATTGATGCCTGCGGGCCATGCTGCCACCAGGGGCCATATGGTGTCTATGGCTTCTGGCTGGGGTAGGGGTGGGGAAAGACCCAGTTTGCTTTAAGGGGCTGACCACTGGGAGTTTAACCATGCTCCAGTGAGTATGTGGTCAACACATATTAAACTTGGTATATTTTTTTCCTTTTTTTTTTCTTTTTTAGGGGGAGGTCACAAGTGTGGCAGGGTTCACCTTGGAGGGTTGGAAAGTGAGTGTGATTGAAGTGTGTTATGTGAAATTCCCAAATAATAAGTAAAAATATCATGTTGGAAAAAAAAACCACCTAATAAAAAATGGCCTATACTACTTTAGAAAATACAATATTTGAAAACAGCCTAGATGTGGAACAGATAAATGAAAGGAAAATGTGGCAATATGTACAAGGGAATTGTATTTTGCTATAATGTAAAATGAAATGACATTCTTAGAAATATGGATGGAGCGGAAAGTCATAATGTTCATCAAAATAAGAAAGACTTAAGATATATATTACAAATACAGAATATAGTTTTATATATATATATATATATATATATATATATATATATATATATATATATATATATATATATATATATATATATATATACACACACACAAGAGGAAAAGGTGTAAAGGGATGGGAGAATAGCAATCAGTGAAACAGATGCATGTAAATAGAACCAACATCTTTTAGAAGTAAGGACACCAGCAAGAAAAGAATGAGGAATCCTCACAATATAACCCATTACATATTACACTAACCTCCCAGAACACTCTCTTGGGTGCAAATCTTAAATCCTGAGACAGTATTTGATTGATGGAGAGTGAGGATAAGAAAATGAACTTCAGACAGAGAGACATATGTGAAGGAAAAATATATAAAGAAAGCCTCACGTTATATTTATGTAAGAAGTGTAAATACAGAAAAGGAAACAATGGAGAGAAGAAATAAACTTCAAATGGGGAAATAGACTTTAAATAACACCTCTGAAACAGAGAGTTTCTAACTAAAATGCAGACAATCTCTTGTGATACAATAGATAAAAGAGCCGAGGGAAAATCACTTGCTAGAAAACTCAGATATATACATCACATTGTGTTCTTTATCTCAAAATAAAAATTATTTTTGGAAAACAAGAACCAGATTTTGATTGAACACATGTAATCACAACATTCAGGAGCCCATAAAAAAGGATTCTGTTTGAGGATGAATAGGTAGTATGTAAAAAAACAAAAATAGGCCGGGCGGTGGTGGCGCACGCCTTTAATCCCAGCACTCGGGAGGCAGAGCCAGGCGGATCTCTGTGAGTTCGAGGCCAGCCTGGGCTACCAAGTGAGTCCCAGGAAAGGCGCAAAGCTACACAGAGAAACCCTGTCTCGAAAAACTAAAAAAAAAAAAACAGGCCAATTACTTACTTTTCAAAACTTATTTTTGTACTTTTTTTTACTTAAAAAGCACAGTGAATAAAAGGTAAAAGATGAAAATTAATAATTAACATACCTTAGGACATTTTGGACACACAATATCAATCTAGCAAATGACTTCAATAACAAAGACAGAAAGATACTGGTACCCATATATTCAATGATAAGCATTCATTTCTCAAAACAAATTGTTAAATATCCATAGAAAGTGGGACATCAGGGCTGGAGAGATGGCTCAGAGGTTAAGAACACTGACTGCTCTTCCAGAGGTCCTGAGTTCACTTCCCAGCAACCACATGATGGTTCACAACCATCTGTAATGAGACCTGGTGCCCTCTTCTGGTCATACATGTTGTATATATAATAAATAAATAAATAAGTAAATAAATAAGTAAATAAATAAATAAATCTTTAAAAAAAAAGAAAGTGGGACATCAGTGTTTGTTCTTATTTGTATGTATTAATTATATACAATAGGTTTCATGACTTTTCATAAATATATAGAGCATATACAATGGTTGCTGGGGAGGGAAAACTAACATGATGCATTGGATAACCAAAATTGACAAAATAACAAGTAGCAAAGGGAACATTTACACTTAGCACCTCCCCCACTCAAGCTTAAGGGACAAACACTGTAGAAGAAATATAAGATGCAGAAGTGGTGTGAAATACTATGCAGGACATGGCCATTGACCTCATGAAAATAAGGAGTTATGGAACTTCCCCATGACCTATAACACAAGATCAAGAGAGCCAACCTCACAACATTAATAGGAGAGAGGCTCAAGAAATTCAAAATTGGGGCTGTAGAGATAGCTCAGAGGTTAAAAGCATTGACTGTTTTTCAAGAGGTCCTGAGTTCAATTCCCAGCAACCAAATGGTGGCTCAGAACCATCTATGATGAGATCTAATGCCCTTTTCTGGAATGCAGGCAAACATGCAGAAAGAACAGTATACATAATAAATAAAATAAATCTTAAAAAGAAAAGAAAGAAATTCAAAATCTAACTAAGGAGCTACTAGTAATTGATGGTTGCTTGGGAAGAGAAGTTATTTTTCTTTGGACATTTGCTCCTGAAAAGTTGTTTAGACTCAGGTGCATGGCCCCATACCCAGGCACATGCAGATGGTACTAATTGAACTCAGTAAGATTTAAAAAAAATGGTAAAATGGTATTAATAAATGCAAGCAATGGTTCTTTGAGGGAATAAACAAGATTTACAGACCCTTTGCCTAACCAAGCAAAAGAAAGAGTAACATAAATAACGGAATCAGTAATGAGCACAAACACATTACAACAGACACCAAAGAAATATAGAATATTTTAAAAGAATATAGAATACTTTAAAAACCTGTACATGACTAAGTTGAAAAATTAGAAAGAAATGTATGAATTTATTGATTCATCCAAACTA